ATCCATTCTCACTTGAGACGTCTACAGTTCGGAATGACGGAGATATGACTTGCGTCATCTCCATAGCTTCAGGGTTTAGAAGACTCTTCCTTGTTGATCTCTGAGGATTAACGGGGTCTTCGGTTGCGTGTAGAACATTCCACACAGATTTATGAGGTAATACTGACGGGATTGCTTCAGTAGGATCCACTAGATCTTGAGGGTTTTCTGTATTATTTTTGGGGCCCATGATGCCTAGCACTGAGGACAGGGCTTCAGTCATCTCCATCCCTTCGAAGATACTCCTTCTGGGTAAAGGGGTCTTCGAAGACTCCCTTGTGAGGTTCTGGTCATTTTCAATAAACTCCAAGCGACAAGAATCTGTCAGGGTCAATGTACGATCATCAGACTTGTTCCCAGTTGTGTTTTCAACTTTCTCTTGCGACGAAGGACTGTCGTCGTCGCAGTAAATTGAGAATTTACAAGACACCTTTTGGGTAACTTGTAGGGGAATCAATTCCTCCTCTGGTGACGAAACATCTGCCATGGGATTCATCGGGATATTTTCCTTCTCCACAAACAGTTCTGGGTAATTCTCTATCATGTCGGGATTTATGAAGTTTGGATTCAGACCTTTGGATTTTGCGCCGTGTCTTGGATGATTTGAAGTGAATTCTAGGATGGGAGAGGCGTCGGAATCCTCTTGGGAAGAAAGTTGAGGTTGATGGTCATCATTGTGGCTTTTGGCCATGTGAGAGCTATCACTTTCCTCGTAGGTGTTGTCCCATACTGTTCCCTGCTCCATGGAGTCACAGAATTCCCTACGATAGATGCAGATAATTGTTCGTTCATTGGTTGGAATTATAGACAGAAATATTCATTAATATTGAAATTCATAGATCAAATAATCATTTATAATAAAAGGAAAATTTTTTCCTTGCATAATTAGCCCGGAGCTGCATTCAATCGGCGACTCCATTCTTTAGCTAAAAATGTTTTGACAACTGAAAATATGATTCTTTCTTCCTTTATCAGTAGGTTTTTTTCTCAGTCGTTCTTTGGTGGAACTGTCATAATTATTCGTGTTCTAAGACCATTGAATTCAAATTACATAATTTTCACTTTTGTGATGATTTTTAAGTTACAATTTGTTGATTTTCTTCGTAATGTAGAAAAACCGGGTGATAAAATACTCACTTGACATGTTTTTTCCCGGCAAAACTAACTCTCCTCTTTAATCTCGACGGAGTGGACTCAACTGATGAAGAGGGAGTTTCTTCTGACAGACCTTTCTTGCATTTTTGCATTTTTGGACCTTTCAAGATCTACATACAAATGAAAAGAACACGTCAGAAAAATAGCCATAAACAATTTAACCAAGGCAAACTATGAAAAATTCATGGATAATTCAGATTTGAAGGTAATTACAGTACGTAATTATTGCACATACCGAGGATGAAGATCGTCGAGAGTGTTTATTCGATGTAGAAGGATTCCTGTAACAAAAATATACAATTCAGGAAAATTACGTTCCCATGTATTCATGGTCAATTGAAACGTAACGGCTAAAAATTCAAATTGACCTGTAAAGCACTGTTCATATGTGGCGCCTTATTATTTAGCATTTTCCAACTGTTTGGCGGGAACGGCGGGAATCGGGAAAGTTGAGGTTAGGTACACCAAAGAGAATCATGCACTAGAAAAATCAAGACTGTCTAAATTTATTAATCAATCCAATTCCAAAGAAGAAAAACATACATTCCTTAATGCAATTTCTTAATTAATTCCATCGTCCTTGCTTCTGTCACTCTCATTATTTTGTAATAAGTAGCAACACGAAATTATCTGAATACTAACAACACAATTGATGGAAAATAAATTTTATACACTTCCACCGCTTTTCTTTAAAAAAAGGAATTTGTAAATGGTAAAAAAATCATCTGTAGTGATTCAAAAATTCCAAGTGAGACTTTAATGACAAAATGTGTCTATTAGATTCTTTGAAAATAACGCGAATATCAACGGTATTCAAACATGTAAGTCGAAAGCGTCACAAACATATCTATTTCTCCAATTTTTTGCGGAAATCCAAACCCAGACCGATATCACTCCACCTAGAATTAAGAGATTTCACACCTTAACAACACTAGAATTTTTACTCACATTCTAACTGATTTTTTTCCTTCTCTTTTAAAAACAATTCTCCATTTGACAAGACAATCTGTGACAAGACTTGTCACAGTGGAATGGTATTATTTAAAGGCAAAATGCTGCACTTACAATAGTGTCAGGTACTGGCTTGTTGTCAAGCTCTCCCTCCAAACTTCCAACGTTTGATTGGTTGAATATTTGACGCACTGAAAAAGAGCGGGAATTTCGTTTTGAGATATTCTGAGATGGATATTTAACAATTGCCAAGAGATCTGAATTTTTTATTGTACAAACAGAATTTTATAATTGCTAGCTGGTGAAGTGATTAATATGAATTAAATTTGGTTAATACCTAAGGAAATTTTCCAATTTTGGTTAAAAAACAGAAAAACGTGGATCGAGTTTCATAAAAATATCATTTATTTGTTTATCACTCAATTTTCCACAGTATTTATCCGCATCTTATATCGCACATACGTTATAATCACATACCACAGGTAATTAATTCGATAAACAAATACGAAAGAGTTGAATATCCTGCTAAAACCCTTGCTCCTCTTTATGCCAGATATTTTCTCAATAACGCGTGTGCACGAATCATAATTTTAAAATATTCTACCACTATACAGTAGCGTGATTATTACTACATTTATTATTAAATTCATATCGATAATTCACCTTAATTCCCTCGGTATTTGATACCACAGAACAAAATTTATCCTAACAATACGGAATACAATTGCAGGGTAAACAATAACTGAACGTGATTTTGTTTTTTACAAGAATTGTAAGAAATTGTCATGGACCATTGGACAAAATCCACTCATTGTTACATTGAACAGATAATTTTTCTCAATTTACTCGGTTTTCGCTATCACAATTACACAGATTGTTAAAATATAAAGATCGGGACAGGGATCTCCTCCAATGTTTCATTGGGATTTCTCAGTTAAAAAGGCAGAATTAGGATAATAAATTGAAGAACAATATATGTGGCCGTCCACATGAAAAGGGCTCACTTTGGTGACGTCGGAGTTATGTATATTCTGATAATCTTGGTCAGGTCCCTCGTATTTTGAGCCCAAAACTAATCGATAACGTGAAAAATGACGCCAATATGAACGATCAAACTCAATTTAGCAGTCGTTTAGATGATAAGCATGGAGGAAAATGAATATGTCCAATATTTGACGCGATGAAATGGATCCTTTTCACGTGAACGACCACATATTGGAAATGTGACACTAAATGCCTAAACTATATTTTTTATTTTTTTAGTGCTGGACACTGGAGGCAGAAAAAAAATCATAGAGCCATGTAATAATGAGGAAAACATTACGACAAACGGCCTGCCACTTTGTCGTTACAACATACCACCCAAATCAAATGGAAAACAATGAGGGGGTACACGAGTTCTGACACCAGAGTTTATTTCTCAGTGACTGAATGTAAGTCCGAGGCTCTGATGTCTCACGCCAAAACACCTAACACTTGGAATAAATTTTCTATTTCTCTAAGTGAGTCTTTTTATTCATTTGAGGTTCAGTCGTACTCGTGTGATGCTTCACGTTTATTTATGAGACTATCACGTTCTTCATCATTGACACTAATTTCCGTTGTTGTTGGTCTGACGATTTTTGTTGCTCTAGATACCTTTCCAAGGCCCTCGGCAAAGCCACTTGCCCCTGAGACACTGGAAAAAAGCCTGAAGTCGTAAGATTAGAATAATAAAATTAACATAAAACGAGATGTGCGAGAAAAAAAAATGGAAATGTTGAAAAATTAACATATGACAGATGAAAGAAATAGATTTCTTAGTGATGTTTGTTACGTACACAACATCCATTTCATCATCGTCGTCGTTTGCTGCTAGATCATCGTTTACTGTGAAGTATGGATTTGCTGAGGCTGGTCGGAATTTATAGCCAGTTAATACGAAGAAAATGTAAGTTGCCATTTCGCGGAACATTTCGTCGAGCCACTCGTATTGGAATGGTACTGTCATCTGAAAAAAATCATTAATTAATTGCTCACCATTTTATTTGAATATTTTTTACTAACATTCATCCATTTAACATGGCAATCGTTTCGAGAAGGTCTACAGTCGGAAGGAACTGATAAAAAAACCTTTGTGGATTATTCATTTGAGTCAGTGTTTGCCTCAAAAATTGATTCAATTATTCAGAAAAAACAATTCTGTAAATAATTTGCCAATAATAAATATATTCGCTGAATGCCGGTTAATATAAAAGGTGTTCCTTGTCATGGATAAATTTAAAGGGAAGTTATCACCGTCTTAGATTTTGATGAAAAAGAAAAATAATTTAAAAACGAAAAAAAAAACAAACCTTCAATAAGTACACGATGATACGAGTGAAATAGATGTAGCAAACAATCATGATATAAAAGTGTCTGAATAATTTGAGCTTTTGAAGATTGATAGCCGCTTTTCCATCGGTATTCGCTGACTCTTGTAAATGTTTTATACTCCATGCCACTGGGAATAGAATAGCACCACAGCAGAGAAGATCTACGAGAATAAATACGTCACGCCACGTTTTGTGCTCCACATCCCCCTCTTCACTTTCTTCGATTATAATTTCAGCTACGTTAGCCAGCACCTTTAAATTAAGAAAACCCAAACAAAATTTATTTTTTTTGTGCCATAATAAATCCACCAATGAATTTCAAAGGTTAACATCCTAAAGAGATAATTTACTTGAAGTGGTATAACAATCATGAAAATTTTCTTATCCTTATCCGCCAGGATGTGTTTAATAAAGTCCCATCCCGTGCCGACAAGGACAATTGTAATAAATAGAACAGCTCCTTTCAGCAAATGCGTGATGTAATACAGAATAGCCCAAGCAGCGACATGTTCTCCTTTAGTCTGGATAAAGTGGAAATTTATTCCATGGAAAAGTAGTGAAAGAGATTTCAAGAATACGAGGACAGCCATGAGATAGTGAATTTTGAAGACTGGATGCCTGAAAGAAATAAAAAAATTACTCATTCAGTACAAATATTGGCATTGAAAACCTCAAGTTCTTCGAACATGACACATACTTGCTCTTTTTCAAGATAAATACCCAGAAAACCCCAGATACGAAGAATAAAAGTGACATCATGAAATAAAGTGACGGAAGTGGCATTTCTCCAGCACTCAAAAAATTCCTCCTATTCTTCGCCACTATTCGCATCTGTGGATGATAAAATACACAATGAGTAATATAAACTCTGTGAATTTATAAATCCCAAGATCCTCACCGTAAAATCCATCGATACAAACGTATCGTAATTATAATTGGGACAACTGTGGAGATATAGATTATATCTACCCTCTTCCTCCTCATTTGCCACAAACATGGCAAAACTCGTGTTGAAGTATTTCTCACCCTTGATTGTTTCAGTTGTCATAGGAATGTTTATCTTCGAGCATATTTTATTCTGTATGTTCATTCCAGCCTCGTCCATCTCAATATCTGTACCAATTGTGTAACAAAATTTGTATAAATCTTCCTTGCCAACAACGAAGAGGATTTGCATCATTTTTACATTACACCGTCAATGGTAACTTGGAAAATTCCTGATATTTATTCTTGTCTTCATTATTCTAATAATATCAGCGGGGACATTCGTGAAGTATTTCGGAACACTAGTTTGTTCTCATTCATTCATGTTGAGTTCATTCAGTTGCATAAGATGCTGATTTATGTTATAGAGGATGACAAGCATTTGAAAGACAAACCAAATAGGAAAATCGTTTTCAACTGAACAATGATTCATCAGGAGATAGTTGTACTGACAATGGAATGGATTTAATGCAAATTTCCTGGATAAATAGACGATTAGAGTTATTACTTGGCGTTGAAATTTTGGTGGACGTAATATGTGTCCACCTGTTGGCTCTCGTGTGCACCGTGTCAAATAATTTTCTATTAATATTTAACGGGTGATAAATACGGAAATAAAGCAATTTCACTGGTGTTAAATGCACATGGGGGACGGAATGTTACTATTATTAGATGGACATAACGGTAACATCTGGTACACAAAGTGCAATGATCTTCTCACGTTCATTTCCTCTATTATGTTTGTGTGTCGACAGCCCACGCACGAAAAGTTGGAATAATTCGGCCTTTAATTTGGAGAAATTTGAAGAAATTTTTAAAGATATTAGAGGATTCATAGATAATTGTCGAAAGTTATTCATGTTCTGCATTTTTAACTGACCAACTTTTGTTACTGGGGGAGTGCCAGACCCGAGTAAATTCAAGTATGATACTGAACAGAGGATTTCAAAGGTGGTATATTTTTTTGTAATTAAAATTAACGATAAATTCTATAAATCTTCAACTTTAGATTGTAATCTCATGTAATTAAACAAAATTTTATTACGAACCGTGAGGCGCAGTGTCACGTTTCCTACGGGGAAATAAAGCAGTATCACTGAACTTCGAAGATATTAATTTCCTTTTAGTTCTGAAATTCCTTATTTCATCTGGATCACTGGAGATGTGCAAGGACCGTACGTTGTGACTGCAGTTGACGACTAATCTGAAGTATAAAGAAATGTTTTAATGATTACTTATAATATATTTGTATCGCCTTTGGTCAATTACTCACAATTTATTTTTGAAATCCATCGTGAAAAAAATAACCGAGCTATCATCCTTAGAGTCTAAATCAGCCTTGGGGCTAGTGACTCCCTGCAGCAAACATTTCTCTTGATGACTATCTAAATGTGGATTCATTGCGTCACTCCTAGTCCTATCCAAGCTGAACCCATACTGGAGGAAAGAAAATATATGTTACGATCCATTCTGATAATTAAAGGAGATTGAGTGAAAACGCAAGGCAACTTGTACCAGTTGTAGGATTTTGATGGGCTTTAATTGACAATATCATCTAAATGTCAACTGAGAAGATATATAGTTACAGACTTATTGAAATAGCGATCGGAACAAGTGGCTAATGCGTGTCTGGCACAGCATCAATCAATTAATAACTCTTTACATCACGAATGATCGAACATTAAATTGGAAATTAAACTTACAATTGCATTTTCATCGAATGGCGTGACTTTGAAATTCGTTAAATTCACTGTGAGAACTCCTCCTTGATAAAATCCAAAAGTTGTTAACGCGATATATCGCCTGGTGTCACCCTGGAAATATTGTCATGAAGTTGATTGGAAAGTAAATAAAGAAAAATAATGTTTAAAATTTTTCGCTGATTTGTGTTTATTGAAATGGGTTGAAACTGACCCGTATTTCAAGCTTATGAATTCTTGCTGTGACTGTTGTGAAGGTCCCTAGGACGAGAAGAACCCAGAGGGCTCCTATTAACCTTGCACTCATTATAAATTATCTCTTTTTTCAATATTCAATATTTTCCTGTAAATAATCACCACTGATACGTCACATTACAGGACCTTTATTTGAGATCAATAAGAGGAGGCAAGACCAGGCGAAACAACATTGACATTCAGATCATCGATGCTCGTGTGGATAGATGAGGTGAAACTGACTGACACGTCTTGTGAAATTCACGAACTTGAGGAATCAGAGGGAAATGGAACGCGATGGTTTATGGGGTGTCAGAGTCATCTGTTACTCTGATTTAATACTATTTAAAAACATTTTTTTTTCCTTCACAAGTAATTTCTTCTACGAAATTCATATCCTAATTTTTTATTGATTTATGAACACTGCAGAATATTTTTCAGGGAGAATAACTTAATTTAGATAACAATAAAAGAAGAATTTTATGATTTTTTTCACTACTTCTGAAGAAAATAGAGTTGAATTAATTTTCCTAAGCTTTATTTTGTTTCTGGGCTTTCATTCGGTCGTCATACTCCTGCCACCATCTGAAAAGGTGACATATGGATTTATAATTGTTTATTCACTTTATTGGAATGTTAATATTGAATTGTTTACATACTCTGGACTACGAAGATAATTGTATCGCCAAACCATAGCTACTCCTAAAAGAGCTAGAAATGGTACACCAATGGTTCTCGTAACATTACCCATTTTCAGGGGTTAATTAATTCCTATCAAAGAATTAAGAAAAAGATTTATGAATAATTGGGTACTGTCAATAATTTCTACATACTCCTTTTAAAAAAGATGAAAAAATCCTCACCGTCTGATCAGCTGATTGCAGAAAGAGAAATTATTTCTGGAAATGATAGAGGTTAACTATTTTATCACTGTTTGAACAATAGAACGATGTGGAAATGAACCAACAATTTAATACAGAACAAGTCCTAAGGATGGCGACAGACTCTCTGGGATGATCTTTTATCGACTGGAATTCTCCGCGGGATTGATAAACAACGTACGTATTCATATTAAACTTTTTATTTTTCAAGTTTCGCAAAATCATAGTGTACAATCCGTATTAAAATATTATGAAGTCAATCGGAGAAATGTTGATAATTCCAGACTTGTTTAGTGACTAAACACACTTGATTGTTCATTCATTGAAAACAATGAAAACGCATGAACAATTTTTAAAGCAGGTTAAAGAATTCCACACAATTTCGAGTCGTGCTGTTGCGGTTTCCCTGAATGTCACAAAATTTTTTTCGTTGATTCTGAGTTAGTCTCCAAGAGGGTGAGGCCTTTGTGTGCTCCTGTGGGTTTCAGTTCAGTGAGGTTTTCATTTCTTTTGAGACTCTCTAAGTGCTTTTTCTTTATAATCGTGGCTCCAGTAAATCCTGTTATGAATATTAGAAAATTTTTATAGTAACGTAATAAAATGTAAAAGCAATTCTGACTGGAATGAGAGCTTGCGCGGGATCGTGTTAAGTATGGAAATCTCTGGTGATAATTACTAATTAGTGATTTGTGAATTGTTTAAGTGTGATAATATTTCCTCTAATTATATTTTCCTTTTCAACGTTTAAAAAAAGTGGAGACCAGTGACCGAAAAACTGTTTGTGAAAAATTTATGTTGTCTCTGTCACTTGAGGTAAACGAATGGAAAAGATAGGAATTGATTAAGCAGTCAATGAGCAACAGATCATTATGAATTTCGTTTCTCCATTGGCAAAGCATTAGAGTGACGGCGCGTTTCCTTTTGATAATTCTAAAAGCAAGCGTCGAAGAGAAAATGGTAATTTTATGTCTTCGTTCTGTTTAGATGAAACATTTTATTTTGGGACACCATGAATTCACCTAATAGTCCACCTCCAATAGCAGTAAGGCCCCCGAGCTTTAGCCCAGCCATTAATCCAATAGGCCCACCAATACATGAACCAATCAATGCCCCAGCAATTGGGTAGGTAGCAACTTTGAATTTAGCAGCTCTCTGAAGAAATTTTGCTCCACCCGTAACGTTATCCTCCGTTTCGACGATATTATCTTCTATAGTATCGACACGCTCTCGTTGGTCCTGCAATTTTTCAATAATTATATCATCCAAGTATTTCACTGACATTTAAAAAAACTCACGTGAATTAATTTATTGAAGTCTACGAAAAGTTGATGCAATTGTTGTAATTCACCTTGGAGTGAATTCCACGCATGAAGACAGGCTTCCTGTCTCCTCAAGTCTTCTATCTCAGTCTGAAGGTTGAGAAAGGCCTTGTCACCATGAAGTCCCGAGTCCTCTGAATTATCGTCCTGTGCGGGGACTTTCGGAGGAGGTTCGAACTTCATGTCTATGAATATTCAATATTTAGAAAAATATTTCCCACCTAGAATCATGCTTATGCCGTAATTTATGAATACGATTGAAGACCATAACATTCATCTGAATTAACTGAAACGAAATAGTTCTTTTCGAACATTTTAATTGTCTTCTGAACTTCTTCAAGTTTTTGATACGTAAATTAATTTTCCATTCTACACATATATGATTTCAATATATTATATCAAGACCGAAAATATATATATTTATTGTTTATATAATTTAGTGATTAGTACGATTTATTAATATCTCTCTCTGACAGTTTCCAGTGCATTTTTAATCGATTCTCTTATTGATTGATTCAGATGCTACGAATTTATTATTATTAGAGCACAAATTCTCTTTTATACTGCAATTGTTAGGATTATTTTAGCATTCATTCTAGAATAAATTGTCCTTGAAAGCCTTGAGTATTTGAAACGCAAGGCAATGCAAATGTGAGAGGAATTCCAACAGCCTCATTAACGTTTTCATCATTTTCTGAAAACCTTCACTCAATGAATACGACAAAGAGACTTGTATGAGATAAAATTACCTAAATACTCTTGAATAGCATTGATCGTGCTTGCTCTGGCCTTGGCTGTTAGTTTGTCGAATTTATCAATGTCTCTGTCCTCGACTTGGCCCCTCAAGGTATCCATTTCATACAATAGTTGTTCCAATTGTTTAACTAATCTAGATGCATTGATCTGTTCCTTTTGTATCTTATCCCAATCCCTGAGTCTCTCGTACTAAAATAATCATAAAATGACATTTACGTTGTTATTGACGGTTGAATGACATTCAGGTACTCACTTTCTTGAGATTATCTTTATGTCTTCGCAAGAGATCCAAGTGATGTGGTATTGCAACATCGTTGAATTTGCTGATGGGTATTTGTAGCCAGCGAATTGGTTGTTTCATCGAAATATTCTCACTCGACATTATGAATTGTAACTTATATGTAATGATTGTGGTGTACTCTTATCTTATTATGGTGCGATGTATTGCTCGTTATAGTTCACCCTCTTTATTGATTACTCAGATGTTTTTTTATTCATGGTGAATTCTTAAGTTTATTTGAATGTGTTGAGGTATGAAACGAAATTTCTTCATAACACAGTATTGAAGAATTGTCAAGTGCGCGTTTACGATGTCATGCGTATCGTCATACTGAATTTATTAGAAAAATGTTTTTTATTCGCGGTGCTGGCATCTGGTGATGGTTTCACGACTTCTTCATTGAATTTAATTACAGCCCTGAAAGAATACAGAATTCGTAATTTATTACAATATAATTTCATAAGTTCTTGAATTGAATGAAACCCAATTTAAGAACGTGCTTAGTTTCCTTAATTATTGAGAAATGAACGAAATTTTTTTTAAACTAATAAGAGCTTGGACAGGATTGTCGCTTTACCGACGAACACTTGGACAGTTTCAATTAATTTCTTAAATGAACATCTGTTTCGTTAATTTTTTTAGGGGAAAGGAAGTGTTGAATACTTTCCAATTTCAATTAAGTAAATTGAAACTTTCAAATTGTTTACCTCGTTCCGTTTATTTCTCGGAATGGATTAAGTGGTCTCGATAGAAATGAAAGAGGTGTCGCTACTTGTTCAGTTTTCGAAGGTTTTCATACAAAGACGCGGTTTGTATCAAACTGAATAAACCAAACATTTGCGAATGTTTATGAGAATGATAATTGATATTTTAACAGTTACTCATTAATTACCTCTTTATATAAATCTTCTATGAAATTTCCATCTGGAGATGCTATACACTCATCTGCTAGATATATCTCGCAGCCACTGATATTCAATGTTCCATCGCCAACAAATAGTAGAAATTGGGCAAATTCTGTTTTTTCTCGTAAGGCATGCATCTTCCCCGGTAGAGTGAACTTGCGAAAGATGAATTTCACTAATTCATTACTATAACGAAAGAGAGATATTTGTTTGATGTAACGGCGATGTCTTAGGGATGCTTTCACTAATTTATTGCTTTCACCAAGAGGAAATTAATGGGAATTATAATCGATGTGAGTCGATTTCAATCGATATGCGTCGATGTAGTCGATTCGAGTTAATTTGATCATACCAACCAACCAGATCAACTAACTAACCAACCAACCAACCAACCAACCAGCCAGATCAACCAACGAAATATCACATCACCGAGGGTCTTGCAGGTGTAGGTAAATGAAACCCGAAAATTCCTAGGAATAATTACATTTGTGTATGACCAGTTAAAGCTAAAAATATCCCCCCCCCTTCCTCTCCGGTGGATTTTTTTTCGCATCCTTTTTTTGGTAATGAAAAACCGATTGCGACCAAATAGGTTCTCGGCTGTTCGTGACGTGTAATCGAGTCTTCCCTTCCGCATAGTTTCCCCTGCTACCATTAGCTCACCTACCATTCTATCCCACTCTCTTTTTCCCTCTCTGTTCAACTTTTGACCCTGCCATATCCGGCGGGCCATTTCCGCATGAACTTTTATTTCAGGCAGCATGTAAATCACCCCAGGCTACTCTGATATTTGGCCTTTGCCCTTTGTCATGGTCTCCGCGATATAGAGGCTTTGAAGCTATCGGCCCGTGGCCCGCAGCAAATTTCATATTTATCTCCGATTTCCTTAAGAAATAAATCGATCATCGCAAACATCCCGAGATTACGGTAATGGGGAGGTGCATAATTGTCAGGGAGAAATAGGATTATGCTTTCATTATATTATTTAATTATATACATTATATTTGTTTTTGCTATTTTGTTTCATAATCATCGCATCGAGAGAATGTTGAATTGACAAATTCGGTTTATTTACGTTTTCAATAATTAGTCCGTGAATTCATAAATATTTTTCTATTGAACCCCGACTAAATGGTGATTAACCCACGATTGAACTGTTATTAGAGGTTCATTAAAAGGTTTTTAATTGTAGATTCGGTACATTATTTGAAGAATAAAATCCAAATATCAGAATTTTTTAATAAAAAATTCCCACACGAAGAGAAATATTTAGTAAAAATAACGGAACTTGTAATTCGCTTACCGATTACGGAAAAATTACGTGATAATGCCGTAAAATTTCCTACAACTATATTTCACTCCGGAATTACGGAAAAGACGCATAATGTTTATTTTTACTTTATTCATCAGCTTAACATAAAAAAAACGCTCTGGCATTATATCATTTTTGCTGGCTCATCTAATTCCACCATCATATAAAAATTTTCCGATCAAATTTCAGGAAAACTGCCAGATGATTGTACAATAATAAAATTTGTTGCCTCACTAAAACCCTATAAATCTAAAAAACTTTGAATTTTCGTGTCAAAGGAAGCGAAAGGAGAGAGAGGAAATTCGAAAATAGGTTGAAAGGTCGGAATACATCTTTAAACGACTAGGACGCTGGCATTTGGAAGGAAAACCGTTAAAACAAGTGGATGAGACCGCGAATAATCCGACTGAAGTGTAAGCGGTCTGCGGTGGTAGAGATCGGAGAGTGTAACGGACGTAGGCCTCCCTCCCACCCCAAAACGAGGGCAATCCTATTCGTCTGTGCATGTCAGAGAACGTTGAAACATACCGTCGTGAACCAGTAAAAACATGACGCAAAGGTCGGACGTCACTCGTCAGTGGTTAAAGGTACATAACGTTTCAAACCACATGAGCGAATGGTGAAGACGTAGAAAAAGAGAGGCAAAACTTTTCATCCTCAATCCCGAGTTGATTTCAACTTCAACTGAAAACCCATCGACGATAATGGAAGGAATAAATGTGAATTAATCTAAAGTGTCTTTATAACTGTGCACTCGATTGTAACCTTCAATTGGGAAGTTCAGTTGAGAAGTTGACGGGTGGTATTTGCTGTGGGGGTGGTAAGTGGGTGGAATAGGGTGGTATGAGGTGGAATGGGGTGGCAAGGGGCGAACCGGGGGGATAGGGGTGATAAGGGGATGGAAAGGGAAAAGGGGGCTGGCATTGAATTCGATTATGCTCTCGATGGAGCCGAACGAGGCGCCTAGATGCGTATACATACACGGGGCTTTGCAAGTTCTTGTCGAAATTAAGGGATCGAGGGGGTGCCAAGGGTGGGTTGCTGACTCAAAGTGAATCTCGTATACCAATATGACGTTGGATGATTTAGAAGGGAAAGGAGAGGGGCACAACGATATAAACCAGTCCCAGACGCGCCCAGTGATTATTAATTATGTCTTTTGCCATCTCTCACCACCATATGTCACAGTCGATTCGAAATCCTACATGATTTCTCTGCTGAAATACTGCTGTGTATTTACCTGCTATTTCAATGTGACATTTTCCCTTTGACGATATCTACCCTGGGGAGAGTTGGCTGTATTTGACGGGGATCTCTGTCTTGCTCATTGAATTAATTCAAGGTTGCCATTTACTTCTTACTATTGGAAACATGAAATTCTCGGAGTGGATCCTCGTGCTCAAAGGTCATACACGTGAAGGAGCATCGCTGATATCGAACCTCCAAACATCAGAAAACACGTGAGACGTACTTGATTAATAAGGTAGACATCAAGTTAGTTATGACTGACGCGCGAAATTTCAAGTGATTATTTAAAACATCAAATCTACTGCAGCTATATTAGTCGACAAACTCAACGTTCGTTACTTCACTAGAGTTTCTCCGATCTTGTTTTAATTTATCCACCTCTTCCGATTTTTAAAACTCATTTTGGGGTTGAAATGTACGGTAACACGGTCCAGTAATCATGGACTCAATCTCAGTAATTTAAGATACTTTAGTTTATTAATTTCTGATTAAAGAAATGATATCATTTGATGATCTGAGATGTAACAGAGTCATAATTCATCGCAATTGACTTCCTCAGATTTTCGAACATGATTGACTCATGAAATCATTGCGATTTTTATAATTAAAATAATTTTTATAATTGAAATTCAATCTATTATTTCCAATCACACCTATAGTAATTAATAAACTAGACTCACCTCTTCATTGCACTTCCTCCGCTTTTCGCAGTTTTATGTTTCTTCATTTTTTAAATAATTTTTTTCCCTCACTTTCGAATCAATAAATAGCAGGTGGAGCATCGGATCCTCTAACATCTCTGGGACATGGAACCAGTATCGAGACAGTGTCGTGGAAGTTTCTTCCTGTGAAATAAAAGGAAAACGAAAGCCGATGAGGGAGAGGGGAAGGAAGAAGAGAGGGGCAACGCTTGGATTTGAAATTATTTTCAGACAAAAGTTTTATCCAATATTCGGCGTGTACCATCTGCTGGGCGAGGGGCGACAATGTCGACGAATCGTTTGCACGGATTACGGATACAACTGCGTAGATGCCAATTTCCAAGTACATTTAGGCTACGGTGTGGGGAATTGAATTTCAAGAGGCTAATGAGTTTATTGCAGATGTCTATTTTATGGGTGATACATGACCCTCACGATTATTATATGGTTAAGGGTCGGGGAAAATACATAACGAACAAATTCGATTCTTTCAATTGGTATTGGTTATTGGATCGATAGCTATAACTAGTGCGTCGCAGAAATTTTTATTCCAATTTTTTTAATGGAATCAATAATTCAATGATTTTGTACAAATTCTTAAAAGAAATCATTTTCTGCATTTTTTTTATTGTGAGGATATAATGTAATGGGTCGAGCATTTTTTTTAAGATTTTATCGTCGCGGGAAATTACTCCGCGATTTTGTTTTTTATTTGTTGATGAACCTAAGAATTTCATGGATAAATTGGATTTCTGCAGTTCAACAAAAATTGTCAAGAAATGATTTCCTATTGCGAATAACATAAATTGTTTCATAATTTTTACTAAATTTGAGTAAAATCTCGGCATCCAATCCGAAAAATTTTTATCGTATTACGGGTTCACTAGAATTCAACACCCGGCTGATGAAAATTTAGAATTGGGTAAAAAAATCAAATGAAACTGTGAATTTTTCTGACAATAAACGAAAAACCAAAAAATTTCGATAAATGAATTTTCGAATTTTAAGGACAATAACATTAAATGAGATTTAATGGTGAAAAAATCATAAAAATTCAGAGTTTATGGAAGACTCAGTGAAATTTAAGACTGAATATGTGAAATCAAGGAATTGTCGTCTTCAAATCACACCTAGACCGAGGAAATAGTATATTGGC